CAGCAGTTTTGGGAGATGGTTCCATTTTTTTTTTGTTAGATTTGCATAAGAAATCAGTATTTGAGCAAGTTAGAATGACCTTTTCAAAGGAATATTTACAGAAATAGTATCCTTTTTTCCCTTATGACAATGGCTAGCACAGTGCCATTGCCTCAGCCAGTACTTGGCAACTGCTAAGGAGAATATTCACTGCCAAAGGCCTGTATACTTCTTTGTCAATATAAGCAGAAGAGTTCTAATAAGTCCCTCCACATCCTGAAAGGGTTGTAAGCTATGCTGCTTCCAGGCCAGCAGAGGGAGGACAAGTATAATGCACATTTTCCCAGAGGGAGGTGATAGGAAAAGGCATAAGAAGCCCTAGTAAAAGACGATTGCTTAACAGTTTCCAAATCAGTTTCCCCAAAATTTTGTTAAGGGATTTCACAAGATCGCACGTGGTGGGCAGAATATTTGTATGACTAATTCTATTTAACTCATGAAGAATGAAGCTTAGGAAGTAAAGAGACTGAGCCATTTTTCTTATAGGCTTCTGAGGTTGCCCCAAATCAGCAGGAGAAGACAGGGTAGCTATATGAAAAAATTGAAACGAACTTGTCAGCTGGGTCTCTGTAGAAAAATGGCAGAATACTGTATGGGACCTAGAATTAGCAGGGTTCAAGAATGACCCTACCCTCTCAGGGTGCCTGTGGAGTGAAGTTTTAAAGGTTGAAGTACAGAGAAAAATACTTTTGATTGTGAGTCAGGCAGATCTGACTAATACTATATGGGTGCTATGACCTAACAATGTGATCTCAGTCATGTGGTCACAAACTGTCTCTCTGAACCTCTTTGCCTCATGTCAAAAATGGAGGCAATGGGATTAATTTTGTATAATTCTTTAGAGGTGAAAAAGATAATGTATGTGGAGTACTTGGCGGAGTAGGTGTTCAACAAATCAGCAGGGTGAGATTTTTAACAAAATTTTAGTGCATTGTAATTGTACATTGTAGTGGAGTTCATTTTGACATATTCATAAATGCATATAGCATAGTTTTTTCCATTTCAATCCCCTTGCTATTCCCTCCCCTCCCTTTCTTCCTCTCTCTGATCCCCTTCCTCTATTCTACTTGGCTTTCATCTATTTATTTTAATTGGTGCATTATAATTATATATAAAATTGGAATGCATTGTGATATATTTACACATGCACATACCATAATTTGCTCAACTTTATTCCCCAGTTCTTCCTTTTTGTCTCCCTTCCTCTCACATCCTGGGTCCCCCTGCAGATTGGGCTTTTTCAATGTATCTGTTTATACAGAAACCTCAGTTCATCAGGCCCTTGATGGCCAGGGAGGTGAAAGGGCTTGCCATAGCTTGTAATCCCTAAGTCTGGACTCTTTCTGCTATCTTGAGAGAGGTAGATACATTAAAGAGGCACTGTTTCTGCCTACTGCTCTCTTTACTTGCTGAAAGGAATACACAGAAAGAAAATGATGTAAATACTGACTGGCAACACCATATATTAAGCAAATACAGGTCCCCCTGATGAGAGTTGAAAGGAAAATACAGACAGGATATAGAGTATAAATCTGGGTTAGTGGGATTCATAACAAATATCTTTTTAAAAATATGTTTGTAGATGAATAGCATGGCTTTACTTGTTTATTTTTTTATGTGGTGCTAAGGATCAAACCCAGTGCCTCACACATGCTAGGGAAGTGTGTGTCTTTGTGTGTGTGTGTGTGTGTGTGTGTGTGTGTGTGAGAGAGAGAGAGAGAGAGAGAGAGAGAGAGAGAGAGAGAGAGAGAGAATTTCAATTTAAAGTACAAATTCAGCCAGTTGGTAGGAATGAGTGAAGTGGAAGTTGAGAGAATCATTACAGAGTAGAGGGAAGAAAACTTTCAGTTTTCTGGTAAGACATCTCTATATTATGTTCATATTTTGAATAGGTAATAAACACCAATAACAAATTTTAAGTTACAAAAACCTACACAGTGAAGAGAAATTTTCCCTCCCTTTTGCTATTTTTGAGCCACCAAATTCATGTTCCTGGAGGCAATTATTTTTATGAGCTTCTTGAATCTACACACAGATGGTGGCATGCTTGTACATGCTGTTCTGCATCTTAGTTTTAAAATTTAAATTATTCTGGATCAGCACATCTAATACTCTCAATGGCTGCATATAGTGTTGTATCATTTAGATTTAACAATTTATTTAACAAGTTCCCAATAGACATGTAGATTGTTTACAAACAACATTGCAATTAATATCCACATTTTATACACATGCAAGTTTATTTCTAAGATAAATTCCAAGTGGAATTGCTGAGTTATGCACATTTAAAATTTTGATAAATACTCAGTGCTCATCATAGAGGATGTTGTCAACATTCATAATGTGTCAGAATGCCTGTTTCTTTACATCCTGCTATGCAGTGCTTTTTATTTATGTCAATGTGACAGGTGAAAAATGTTATAGCTCAGTTTGATTTTGCTTTCCTCTTACCATGAGTGAAGTTATAAGCGGCCTTCCCATATTTAAAAACCACTCGTATTTCTTTTTTATTAACTTCTCTATCATATATTTTGCCAATTTTATCACTGAGGTTTTCATCTTATTTATATTGACTCATAGGAGCTTCTTAAATAATAAAGAAATCAGTATTTTGGGATTAGAATTACAAATGTTTATTGTTCCATTTTTTTGTAACTTTGCTGTATTTCATGTGAGCAAAAATTTTTATTCCCAACACAAATTTCATTTATTAGAATAGTTCTACAATACATGTTTTCAACAAAATAAGCCACAATTCATGAAGGGAAGAAAAAAGTAATACAGAGATTTAAGAAAACTTATCTTCATTCATTTTTACCTTCTGTTGCCAAGCAGAAAATCTGACTTTAATGTAGTCAAACTTAACATTCTTTCTTCCTGTGTATTTTGAGTGATGTGTCATTGTTAGAAAGATTTTTAATAATGTATCTAATATTTTCTTTTATAATACCTAATTTTGCACTTAAATCATTGATCCATATGGAAATTATTTTGATGTAATATATGCAGTAGAGATATAGTTTTATTATTTTTTATTTTTTGAATTTTTCAATATTTATTTTTTAGTTCTCAGCGGACACAACATCTTTATTTTATTTTTATGTGGCGCTGAGCTACCGCTTGAGCCACATCCCCAGCCCAAGTTTTATTTTTTATGGATAGTTACTCAGTTATCCCAATATCATTTCTTGATTATTCCATTTTCCCCCAATAACTTGAAATACCACTTTTATCATATACTAAATTCCCATATGTATTTGGATTGACTTATGAACTTTCTTTTCTTTCTTTTTCTTTTTTTTTTTGATCTATCAGGTCTGCATGAGTCCAGTCTCTGTTACTTCTGCCTATATAAGTCTGAGCAGGCTATAATTTCTCTTAATTTAATTTTCTCATCTGTTGATGTACCTCAAAAGGGTTGTATAGATTGCAAAATATAGTTTAAATAAAGTTGTAGTATAAACTTCAAACACTAGTCATTTGAATGTATTATTATAGATGTTGAATATCTGAAGGAAAAATTGATATAGTTCTGCTTAGGGCAATAGGTGGAAGAACAGACAGTTTTAATTTCCCAGCAAAGATCAAAATAAGCACTTCTGGCCCTTAAAGAAAGATCCACTTGGGTGCTGACAAAATTAAGAAAAACTGAGGTCAATTGTATCATTAAGGTAGTACAGTGTTAAGATACTCAACAGGCATTAATATTTAAAACGAGCTGATAAGGATTAAGGGGGGTGTGTGCACAGCGCACTTGCACTTGGGGTGGAGTTTGTATAAAGGTCAGAGTCCAGAAGTAATTTTAGTGGAGTCAGGAAGGAATCTGAAGAGACAGATGAAGGAGTCTGAAGGGAGAGAGCCTCAGATGTTAAGACAAAGAAGAGAGGAGCAGAATTGGGGGACCCTGAAGGAATAGGCAGGGATTTTTTTTTTTTTTTTTTTTTTTTTTGCACATGAAGCAAATCTTTTAATGCACTTCAACACTTTTGGCTTAAAACTTCAGTTATTGTTCCAGGTGAAATTCTGAAACTTCAGCCATAAGTCCTTATGTTCTTGGTGTTAACACTTGAACCTCGCTCTGTGAGCAGAAGTAACTTGTCCCAGCAAGTCCCCAGGCAAGGGGAGATGGGCGATGGTACTCCACAGGCACACAGGCCAAGCCAGGCCACGTCCTTCTTGGCCTCTCTGGATCTCAAAGGGGCTGCAGAAACTGGCTGGTTGTCCTGGCCAGTGATCACACCACGAGCTGGTTCAGTCACCTTCCTTCCCAAGGTCCTGCATCTCCTTACGGGCGCTCAGCTTCGGGCAGGCAAACTCCCTGGCCCTGAGACGGCGGCGGCGCTGCGCAGGTTGCGGCACTGCACCCGCGTCGGGAACGCCCAGGCATCCCGGCCAAGCCACAGCCATCTGGCCGCCCCGCCGCTGCCTGCCGCAGAGGGCAGGGATTTTTGTTACTGTGTATTTTACTGCTAATGAACACCCAAATCATATAACATTTGAAATTCCATCTACTGAAATTCTTCCTCATTTTGTAGATTTTTGACAGTAAATTTCAATAAGCAATATAGATCTCATGTTAAAATATTTGCATCTCTGGTATCAACAGTTGCATCCCTAGAAATTCTCACATAAACCCATACACAACCCACTAGCCTGCACTGATAGGAAAATAATAGCAAAACAGTCAGGAAAGGGAGGGAGGAGGGAGGGAAGGCAGTGGGCAGAAACCCAGCCTCTGAGTTTCCGGCTAGAGGCAGCAGGTGGCTGCAGGGGTGGGGGTGAATCCCAGCAGAGAGCAAGATGAATATCTTAGGCCTCTCAGGAAGGAGCCACCTGAGACTTGTCCTGAGCTTTAACAAGAAAAACACAAGCTGTAGCTAGTGTGGCAGGGCAGTGTTGGGAGACCAAACGCACGTGTCTGGGAAGGATAATACACCATGGGGAGGCCTCAGTGGTCAGGCATGGGGCTGCTACTTGGAGCCAGTGTCCTGTTGCTGGCTATGCTCAGAAGTGCTAAGTCTCAAGGAGAGTTCTGTCACCGCTGGATGGACAGCACAGGGCTATTACATGGAGGCTTCCTATGCCCGGAGGGATATGATAAACCCACTGCTACCTTCTGCTGTGGAACCTGTTCTCTACGCTATTGCTGTGCTACCCTTACGGCTCGACTGGATCAGGGACAGTGTCCAGAGGACATTACCTGGGACCCCAAAGAGGCTATGCTCCCACCTCCAGAAGGTAATCTCTGGGCCAAGGAGTGGTAGGGGGAATTGAAACTGGTGGGGAATGAGATGTTCCCTTTCTGCTGGGTTCACATATCTGTATCAGAGGAATTCAAGGTATATAACATGGTGGATTGAGAATCAAATGATCTGTATTGGAATCTTGAGAAAACTGGAGTCTACCACATCCTAACTGCAAGACTTTAGGTCAAGTCTTTGCTTCTAGAACCTGCTTCCTCATGAACTTGATGTTTTCATCAGTTTGGGAGGAAATATAAGGGATCAGATAATTCCTATGAAATACAAGAAACCTTTTATACCTGAGTGAAGTGGGCTTCAGGGTGGTCATGAATCCAGCAATACAACCTTGGCCTACATGGGGAAATCAGACTCTAGAATCGTTTGCTTCATAATTTGCTTTCAAATTTCGGTGCTTGTCAGGAAAAGCTGTAGAAAACTTCCACAGTTCATACTCACCTGCCCTATTTGGGAAGGCTTAGACTCCCTGGTTAGGGGAAAGAGTTATTTATGAAATTCCCCTGGGTCACTATGGCACCTTACTGATTGGTCTCAGATAGGTGGGACAGATAATATGACTCATTTGTTTATTCAATGAATACTTATTTAGTATCTACACTGTGCCAGCCAGCAGAGACCTAATGTTGAAAAATTTTGCCCCTGTCTCTTTTCCCCTCAAGAATCTGTCAGGGAAGGGAAGGTTGTGAGAATTATAACAGGAACAAGACATGGGAGAAAAGGGTTGCCTGGCACTTCTGCCTTTAAAACAATTTTTAGGATAACATTTCTTGATTGGATGACACTATGGAGCTCCTGAACCTACCCTGGGGTCCCCTCCCTGCTGTGCACACTCCTGTTTGTCCTGTGTCCTTGTATAAAACAAGTCTAGGGCTGGGGATGTGGCTCAAGCGGTAGTGCACTCGCCTGGCATGAGCCTCGCCTGGGTTCGATCCTCAGCACCACAAACAAAGATGTTGTGTCCGCCAAGAACTAAAAAATAAATATTAAAATTCTCTCTCTCTACCTCTCTCACTCTCTCTTTAAAAAAAAAAAAAAACAAATAAAACAAGTCTAAAAACCCTGCCTTGCTGGATGGGTGAGGATTGAAGGAGACAATAGGCATTATGCCTAGTGCATTCATATTTTAAATATATATGGTAATGCCTCTTTTGTCTACTTGTGTCCCTGAAGGTCTACCACAAACTTCCTGCTGAGCTGAGCTCTGTAAAGCTCAGGCATATGGGCTACAGAGACCTAGAGATCCTTCCCAAGTTCAAACCTCAACTTTGAGCCTCATCCCTGGAGAACTCATTACCTGTTACAGGAAATGATACCCCCAAATCTTAGTTGCTACACAATTTCTTAGAACAAAATGAGTTATAAATTAATCTATAAGACTACCACACATACCTCCACATAGTGGTTTTAAATAAATATCTCTGAGTGTCAGAAGTTCCATACTCTAAAACGAAATAAGCCCTTGTCCCTTCCAGATACTCAGTAAGTTTCAGAATTTTGATCTCACTCTATTTATTACAACCCCCATTTTTCTAGACCAGAGTCCTCATTTGCTAAGTATGTTCTTTGTCTTGGCAGTCCATTCCAGCCACTTCTTGATTTTCATTGCTTTTCTCAAGACCTCCAACTGTCCAATTACATATGTCTTGAACATGTTATTTGAAGGTTCAGTCAGCACAATTTTTATGCAATAAGATAACCTTTTATTTTCATTTTATTTAAAGGAAAAGATCAAAATCTAGATAGATTGAGAAAAACAATGTAATGAAAAATTGGGTTATTATATTTAGATGACCTGAAATTTTGCTCTGTCCTTCATGGAAAACTTGCTCTCCTTTTTCTCTCTTTGTCACTATTCTTAGAAAAGAAAACCTCATCTCAAGTATTCCAAAGATGGAGGGGGAAATCCCCTACCTTTGCATAGCACTTTAAAGTTTACAAATGTTTCACATGCCTTAGCTCCTTCCATTTAGACAAAGCTATGAAGTAGATGTTATCCAAATTTTATTAACAAAGCATCTGCAACCTAGAGATTTTAATTGGTTTGTCTATGTCCACATCATTTATTAGTAGTTTAGCCAATAAGTAAGCCCCAGGTCTTGTAGCTGCTAATTTCAAACATTCTTTCCACTTAACATATTGTCTTTCAAAGGAGGTACTACTGCCTTTTGTTATGTGATATCCTTCCTAAGAAAGGCTGTGCACAGTGTTTTCTCTTTAGGGAAGCAATACAAATTCCTTCAGTAGATGACACCTCTTTTTGCATCTTTGCCTGGATGATAACTGGTAAGTCATAATTTACTGGTCCATAAATATCATTTGGAATACTTTTTCCTAAACATACTTATTACCTCATGCCTATCTATGCCAAAATTCATTTCTCTTGACTCACAAGGCCTTCTGTGGACTTGACTTCTTTCCTGGAGAAATTTGGCACAAGCTCTGGAAGAAAGGTGTTTGCATTAGAACATGCTCTGGGTATTGGCAAAGTTACGTCTTCCCTCTCCTGTACAAGTGGCAATAGTCCCAGAAACCTGTAACTACCAATTTTTTCTTTCTTCTCTTCATCCTAGGATCCATCTACCTGCCCTTAGTCATTGTGAGTGGCACCTTTGTCACTTTCATCCTATTGGGAATCCTCGCTGGTGTTGCTTGCTTCCGTTGCCTTCGGTCTCAGAGAAGAGATGAACTTTGCACTGCACCTCAAAACCCTGAAGTTACTGTGCTGAGCTCTACTCCCACTCATAGGAGAAACGTCTCAGGAAGCCCACTGCTCCGCCCCAAACCTGATGCTGGTCCAGCCCTGCCTTTCACCACCCAGGAATACCCAGAGAGTACCATCCGTACCATCCCCAAGGCAGTCACAAGGCCTTTTCACTGGCCCCTGCTTGAGTCTTCCCAGATACCATCTCTAACTACAAGTACAGCTATTGTTCTACCACCTTCTCCCCTACTGAGTGGCACAATTTCTTATGGACCAGCCTCTGGTCCACATCCCACAGGCACTACTTGAGAACCCCTTGCTGTATTCAGAGGCTCATTGTTTATAGAATAATCAAGCAAATCCAAAACAAATCTCAAATCAGTCCTGGACCTTGAAGTTGATTTTCTGTTTTCTAAAAACTTGGCTTGCCTTTCAGATGGACAAGTGTCTTCTGTCTGTTTTTTTTTAATAGAATCACTCTATGGCTGCTGCCATTGCTTTTTCATAAAGACACGGGACTTCACTTAGAAACAGTATAATTTAGCTGATAATTTGGGCAAATTATTTCTACAGTGGGAATGTTCTCATAAGTTTCCATGTGATCTTAAGGTTTCTAAATGCATTAAAAATGTTTATATGCTAAGGGAAATGGGTAAGAAGAGGATTTCATTTGTTCTGATTAATGTTCACTGCAGTGTTAGCCATTTAAGCTTTCATCTGGAGCCCTGCCTCCAACAAGACAGATGAGAGAGTTTAAGGATTCAGCTCACTCTGGGAGCAATGGAACTTTAACTGTCAGCATTAAATACATGCATATATGCATATATATCTTCTTTTTCAGACCAATATTGAAGGGAGAACTCTAAAGACAGCTAGAGGTCAATGGTGACTGTACCTGCATTTCACAAGACAAAGCAAGATTTCTAGAACAGGACTGTAGGCTGTGAATTTTAAAAGCGGTGGGAAAGGATCCATTGTCCTTTCCTTAAGAGATAAAGCCTTCTGGTACTAATAGATGGTCTGACCTCTGAAATATAAGTAATACAAAATACTTTGCCAGAGGTAAATACAAAGATCTTCCCCAGAGTAATCTAAATGGTTTAATATTCAAGTGTTTTTACAATTGCTAATGAACAACTCCCTCAAGCACCAATCAGATGGAGAGAGTTATTTATAATTAACTTAGGAATATATTCTTCTCACCCTGAGACCACTGAAGCCTGGATTAGTGACCTCAGGGACCCCAGAGTGATTACTGGTTTAGTATTGATCAAATTTTTAGAATAATTAGAAAGGTTGCTAAAGAGGTTGAATTTATAGGAAATAAAACTAATGTTCTTCTCATTCGCATTTCATGCTTATTTGCATACCACCAGTGTGGAGCTGCTGTCAATGTTCATAAATTCTCATTATCCCTTGCTTGTGGTTGACTTAACTATCAGCTTTCTTTGTGATTTCTGCAAGTCACTTCCTCCCTCTGGGCCTTAGTTTCTCCTCTAGTCAAAAGAGGAAGATGGATGACATAAATAGTGATGATCCTTTCTAGCTTCATCTATGAAAGTGTTTAATCCCAAATGCATGCTAGAATCACTGACAAACATTTTTTTTTTTTTTGTGGGGGGAGTACTGGGGTTTGAACTCAGGGGCACTCGACCACTGAGCCATATCCCCAGCCCTATTTTGTATTTTATTTAGAGGCAGGGTCTCACTTTTGCTAAGGCTGGCTTTGAACTTGCAATCCTCCTGTCTCAGCCTCCTGAGATATTGGGATTACAGATGTTAGCTGTTAGCATTTTATGCCTGGCTTACTGGCAAACTTGAAAAAATACAGAGGGAGACTAATGCAGACTGAATAAATCAGAGTGGTTAAGACTATATTTGGATTTTCTTTAAAATTCTTTATATGATGTAATGTGCAGTTTGGGCTGAGAATCACTGATTTCTGATCTGTATCCAGCTTAGGTTAGATCTGATCTGTCTTAGATAGAGTTTTGAGGCAAATGTATTCATTTCCTAAAGCTTCTATAAGAAATTACTATAAAATCAATTACTTAAAAATGAAGCAAACTTATTATCTGATAGTTTTGGAGGTCAGAGTTCAAAATTAGATTTACTGGACTGTACTGAAGGTGTCATCATGGCTGATCTGTCCTGGACCATCTGGTGTGGAAGATTCCATTTATTTGTGTTTTGTAGCTTCTAGTGGTTGGTTACCTGTATCCATTAGCTTGTAAGCCCTTCCTCCATCTTTAAGTGCATCATTTCAGTCTCCACTTCTGTCATCACTTCAGTTTCTTTTCTTATTCTGACTATGCCTATTTCCCACTTATAAGGTCTGGGATTGCATCAGGCCTACCCATAGATCCCAATTTCAAGAGCTTTAATTTAATCAGGTCTGAAAACTCTCTTTGACACATAAGGTAATAGAGTCACAAATACTGAAGATAAGGAAATGAGGTCATTATCTGGCCTATCATAGTAATCTTTCATTTTTCATGTTTCAACTGTATATAGAGTGACTTAAGTACCAGATTAAAAAGAAAAGTATGATTCTAGTGGGCATTTTCTTGGTATAAGAGGAACAGAAAATAGAGTGCAATGAAAAAATACCTTGTTATTATGTAATGCCTCACTTTCATATTCATTACTTTCTTTGATCCTTTGAGTCAGCATGGGAGATTGGTGGCATTACCTGAGGTTGGGTTGAATTAAAAAAAAAAAAAAAAAAAAAAACTGTCCAAAATGACAAGGGTAAGACTTGGTGTAGGGTTGCCAGATGTAACAAATTAAGTGCAGAGGCTACATTAAATCTGAATTTCAGATAAGCTAAACCTTTACAGGTATATTCCATGTAGTATTTGTAACATACTCCAAAAGCATCCAATGTTTATTAGAAATTAAAGCTGTATATTCCAGATTTTATTTGGCAGGTTTACCTTTGTGTGCTCACTTCATTATAACTCCAGTTTTCTCTTATTCCACAATCCCATACTTCTGCTACTACTATCATTTTCAGTGACACTTTTAAAATTATCTTGTTTAGTTTTACAGTTACAGTTACAATTCATGAAGCTGTTAAACATACTATTTACTTTGATTCTCAAAATAAGTATCCTCTCCCACCAGAGACAGAGTAGGTATTATGAATTCCCATTTCATAAACAGTCATCAAACACAAGGAAGATCACTGACTTGCCCATAGTTACCTGAACTCTCGATCTTTTGCTTTTTCTACATTCTCCTAGATTTGTCCCCCTATGGCATTCCACACTTATCTACAAGTCCTCAGGTTTTTCTGATTTTTCTAGCTTCTTGAATTCATCCCTTGAACACTTCATTCTGACCTCAATTGATGTTGCTGCCATGTCTGCAAGATAAGTCCTTTCTGACCCTAACACCTGGATTTCCAAGCGTAGGTTGTTCTTATCATGTAACCTCTTCCTATAAGATTTAGATCTCAGTGTGATAATCCAGCCTGTTGATCCTAGAATCAAACTGCTTTGCCTCTCAGTCATAGAGACAGGGAAGTGATGTGCCCGAGAAGTGACTTAATTCATTCATTCATCTACGCAGCCTGTCCCAAAAGAGAATTTGAGGAGTTGAGTGAAGTAAATTCTTAAGAATCAAAGGAAGAGAAGTTGGAAGACAGAACCAAATCCCTGAGAATGGTCCCCAGCATTGCTATTGCTTCTGCACAATATCCTCTGTATAGGCTATAATGATATTTGCCATATGGACTAGGCAGGCTAGAGAACAGAGTTAATATATCCCTTCTTTTATAGATAAAGAAACTGAGTCCAAGTGAGGAAAACAGTCATAATGTATGAGGAACAGAGTTGGAGCAGGATCTCAGAGTTTCCTAACCTCCAGTTAATTTTATTTTCTACTGTACATAATGAGAAACTTTTTTATTTTGTTTAATAATTCCTTGCTTGAATATTAGTCTTGACAATCTAAAGATACTTTCTTCTCATTATCTTAGTCTTATTTATAGAATGTGAGAGGCTACTGTTAAGTCAGAGGCTAGAATTTAGTTGATAAGAGATTCAGGACCTAGGTACATTCTGAACTGTGCCTTCTCATGAGTTCAAACTGAAAACAGTTCAGTGATCCCCTCCCTCCTTTCCCATCTGACTTCCATATCACTAACTCCCACCCCACCCAACCCATCTGAGAATAAAACTGGAGATTGAGTTAGTAGTATTAGTCAATCATTGCCTGGGTATTTTTATACTGAGATACCTTCCTCCTTTACATATATCTGTCCTAATGTAAGGAGCAGAATTTAGCCAAGTGGACTGGATCACTGGACACTATGATACTGAGGTACTTAAGAATGAAGTTTCTTGATTTTGGTCTCATACCTCTCTATCCCAGGGGCTTTTACTGGAATCTCTGCTAATGATGTGTGGTGCTGAGGATTGAACCCAGGGCCTCACACATGCTAGGTGAGCGCTCTACCACTGAGACACAATCCCAGCCCCTCTAGCACTATTTTTTTAAAAAAAAATTTTTAAAGAGAGAGAGAGAGAGAGAATTTTTTAATATTTATTTTTTTAGTTCTTGGCGGACACAACATCTTTGTTTGTATGTGGTGCTGAGGATGGAACCTGGGCCGCATGCATGCCAGGCGAGCGCGCTACCGCTTGAGCCACATCCCCAGCCCCCCAGCACTATTTTTAATAGCAACAAACAAATAACAACCAAAAAATAAAAAAAATAACAACAGTAAGCACACACTTCAGTTCCTAGGAACACTTAAGAATGTTTATGACAAGTATTACAGATTATGGGATATCATCTTTATCTATAAAGGATGGCAGTATTTATTAACTGGCTAATATATGACTGCAAAATGAAAAAATAAGTGTTCAGTGAGTCCTCAAAATAGACTGATACAAAAAGAGATGGGGATAATTAACCCCCTTTGTTTGTAGACCATTATAGTTAGAAATATATTTAGAAATTATCCAATCACCTTTCCATTACCCATTTTATAAGATGGGAAACAGGCATAAAAAGAACAATGACATACCCCTAATCATAATTGCCAACTAGTGCCAGAGCTAGGACTATAAGCTTTTGAATACTAAATTAACATTTTACCTACAGTATCACATCACTTCACAAATTCCCAGAGAAGGAAAGTATCAGGCCCAGAGTCACACAGTTCAGCAGTGCTAAAGAGAGGAGTAAATGCAAAGTTTTCTGCTTTATAGGCCATGATCTTTCTAGTCTCTGGAAGAACAATAACAACAATCATAAGAGTAGAAATGCTAATTGTGCAATTGGGCAGGGGACTAGCTCAGTGACAGAGTGATTGCCTAGCATGTTTGAGGCTCTGGTTTTGATCCAGAAAACAAATAACAACAACAATAACCTAGATATTATTTTCAGAGTGCTTACTACATGCCAGGCATTTGGCTAAGTACTTTACATATATTATCTCTTTTAATTTTTCAACATTTTGTAAATGAAGATATCAAGATTCTAAAAGGCTAGTTTGACTGAAGCATATACAGATCTAAATCCAAAATCTTTTTTGTTCGTTTGTTTGTTTTGTTACCAGGGATCAAACCCAGAGGCTCTCAACCACTGAATCCAAAATCTGCTTTTTTGTTTGTTTTGTTGTTTGTTTTGTTACCAGGGATTGAACCCAGAGGCACTCAACCACTGAGCCACATCCTCAGCCCTTTTTGTATTTTATTTAGAGACAGGGTCTTGCTGAGTTGCTTAGGGCCTCATTAAGTTACTGAGGCTGGCTTTGAACACAAGATCCTACTGCCTCAGTCTCCTGAGCCACTGGGATTGCAGGCATGTGCCACCATGCCCAGCCAAGAATCTGTGTTTTTTAACCACTATACCATATTCCTTTTCAGCAGAGATGGCACAAATCAAGTCAGAGGTAGTTCTAAAGGATTCTGAAGAAAATGTCTAGTTTTGCAGAATAAAGCTTCTGTACTAACTTCTTTGGGTCAATATAAATATAAAACATTTTTCTTTATGAGAGTTTGGAAAATATAAAAAAAGTATACAAAAATAAATACTAGTCAACAGAATCCTACCACCCAGACTTAATATTCAGTGTTTTTTTCCCACTCTTCTGATAAAATCAATTTTTGGATGACACAAATTCTGATTCAAATGAACTCTGTGTTCATATATACATTCTTTGAACTACAAGTATCTTCTCCAAAATATTTCAAAGGGCTGGTCAGTATTCAAGCTGCCCATATATGCTACAAGTTTGTGTGGAAGTCCTTATATATTGCTACCCTTAAACATTGGTTTCATTAAACATTCCTAACCTTAAACATTGCTATCATTAAACATTGGTTTATCAA